CGAGCATTGAACTGTGTTAAATTCTATGCAGATGTCCCTATGAAGATTCTCATGGATGAGTGGAACATAAGGCCAACCAGTTGGGTGGGTTCAGGTCCTTGTGGTGACGGCAGCTGGGAAGGTATTACGTGCACAAATTCGCATGTAACCTCCATGTAAGTTTTTGCCTGTTTCCACCATTTTCGTTGCTTCTGGAGTTGCTTAATTTTCTTCCATTTTCGGATAACATTGGCTTCTTTAATTTCAGAGCATTGGCAGATATGGCTTTGACAGGCTCTCTTCCCAGCGATATCGAGCAGTTATCTGAGCTTGAGGTTCTGTACGTCTTCAATCTGATTCTCCGCATTGCATTTTACATAATTATGATACTTCACTTGCAACTAATATGTGAACCAAAATATCCAGGATTTTTCTTTCAAAGCGTTTTAATCGTTACTGAAATTACTTTAGCTTTCACTTCATTATTTGATTCATTTCTTGGTTATAGATTTCTCATTAGTCTTTTGTAACTCTTTTCTCACCCTTTTTCATATAGGAATCTGTCTTTTAACAGGGGCCTGAAGGGACCGCTTCCGGCATCAATTGGAAAGTTGACGAAACTAGTATACTTGTAAAATAGAATTACCGGTTTCTTCACTTTAGTAATTTTTGGTATGTGATTATTCATCCACCTAACTACCTTGTTGCTTTCTTCTTTGCATGTCAGAAACCTGGTTGGTTGCAGTTTCTCCGGTCGAATTCCGGACACTATGGGATCTCTAAAGCAGCTCTCTTATCTGTAAGCCTTCCTCTCCCTCTCGCCCTTGATCATTCCAAACTAGGCGTTTAAACAGGCCAATATCCTACAACACTGCAACTCTTCATTTATATCCTGCTGCAGATCTTTGAAAAACAATAGCTTCAGTGGCTGGATTCCGCCTTCCATTGGTAATATGGCCAATCTTTCCTTTCTGGACCTTTCTGACAACCAACTTCAGGGATCAATCCCAGTATCTAACAGGACTGCACCCGGTCTTGATATGTTACATAAGGCGAGGCACTTGTACGTCAATTCTAGTTAACCCTGAGCTGACTAATCTTTTGCCTACCTTGGATTTGTGCCCCTCTGATTCTTTTTTACACTTCAAATACAGTCATTTTCAAAATAATCAGCTCTCGGGTGCAATTCCCCCTCGACTTTTCAGCTCAAAGATGGTGCTGCTACATGTGTAAGTTTTCTTCACCTGAAAATCTCAATTGGTAAGAGAAAAACATTACCTTATCTGCTTTGAGTACTTTTGTCTGTGCAGGATTTTTGACCGAAATAATCTAACTGGTGCCATTCCTTCCACGCTCGGACATGTGCAGACACTGCAGGCGGTGTGAGTATTTCATATTCACAAGAGATTTATACCAAGAGACTCCTAAGTTGTGGCTTGTATCTAGTTGTACTGAATATCTTGTTCTGGTACAGAATCCTTGATAGGAATTCCTTAAATGGGTCCGTTCCCTCAAGCCTCAGCAATCTTACAAACTTGGCCGAACTGTAAGAAAACGGCGTACCAGACAAAGAATTTTCACTTTCAAACATGTTGTTTGGATTTCACTTTACTAAAGAGAGACTAATGGTAATATGTTTTCAGGCACTTGTCCAACAATCAGCTGACTGGCCGCATGCCAAACCTTACTAGCTTGAATGGCCTGAACTATGTGTAAGTGCAACATTACTGATTTTTTCAAGCTCGATCTAAAAGATGTTACGCTTTATGAATTTCATCACTTTTTCCCATGACTAAAAATTGTTACAATCATATGTATTCCATATCATTGATCTGCAGGGATATGAGCAACAATACTTTTGCTGCAACAGATGTTCCTACTTGGTTTTCGACATTGCAGAATTTGACAACATTGTATGTTTCATTCCTCCTCAATATACCCCTGTGTGTGTGTTTGCGTGTATCTGGATGCAGTTTGAGTTCGAGTATATGTTATTCCACTTGAAATATCACAGTAAATGCTCTGAATTAATGTACCTGTCAATCCTGTATGGCAGAATGATGGAGAACACGGGACTTCAGGGAGAAGTTCCTCCGGCCTTATTCAGCCTTTCCAGTTTGGAGACTGTGTGAGTGCCATACTGATCTCTAATAGCACCTAGCTTAAGTGTAAAGTGGTTGTAAAGTGATTATCAATCTAACCTGTGGGCTGTTGCAGGTTACTGAGGAACAACAAAATCAACGGTTTACTGGATCTTGGAACCATTTCTAGCAACGGTTTGCAACGAATTGATCTGGAGAAGAACTTCATTACCGACCTTACACGAAGTGATGGAGGATCCAACTATACATTGATGTAAGCTATAGTTCTCATACATCGAATATCAATGTCCAATTGTTTGTCAAACTGTCATGATTAATGGTCCGTTATCTTTTGCAGCCTCGTTGATAATCCAATTTGTGAGGGAACAAGCATGGCAAATAACTACTGCACTGTTTCTCCAACCAGTTCCCCAATTTCACCGCCACCAAGTAACTGTACGCAAGTTGCTTGTAGTCCGGGGCAGGTTTCTTCCCCCAACTGTAAATGTGCATATCCCTACACAGGAACTCTAAACTTCATATTTGTTTCTTTCTCCAACTTGGAAAACTTCAGTTATTTCACAGCTCTTCAGGAATCTCTCCTAAAAACCCTTCGGTCCTATAACCTTCCTGTGGATTCAGTTGCTGTTAGTAATCCTTCCTGGGACTCCTCTTATCACCTTAAACTCTACATAGAAATCTTCCCGGCTGGCCAAGACCGCTTCAACAAAACTGGATCTTCAGCCATTGCGTCCATGATTAGCAACCAGACTCTGGCGGGGGCGCATCCAAGTTATTATGGACCCTTCTCTTTTTTTTTCCCTTATGACAACCCGAAATCAGGAGGTAAGTCTGAAAGTCACTCTGAACTTAGAAATACTAGTTGCACTTCTGCTTTAAAAGTTGGCAATGTTAACTCGATCTGATAACTGACGACACGTCTCTCTTTTCATTTCTCATGATTTTGAGGTGTGCTGCAATCAAGCAAAGGCTTGATAATTGGTGCAGCAGTTGGTGGTTCCGCACTTGTGTTATTGTTAGCCCTTCTAGGGTTTTATGCTCTCCACCTAAAGAGACAAGCAAATGATCAATGGAGCAGGTCAATGCCTTTGGTAAGATGTTGTTCATCGATAACTCAAAAAGGCGGTAGAGAAAAAATTATAACAGACTCAACACATTATGCTTCATCATAAGGCAGTAAGCTTAGTTATTGTTTTTCTGTCTACGAATTCTGCAGACCGGGACTTATAGCAGTGCTAGATCTCCGGACCTAAAAGGAGCACGGTTGTTCTCTTTTGAAGAGCTTAGGAAATACAGCAACGGTTTTTCAGACGCTAATGATGTTGGATCTGGTGGTTATGGAAAGGTTAACTCCTAAACCCTACACAGTTACAAAATGTAACTTACAAAAATACTGCTAGATAGTGACAATATGACATCATTCGGTAACATTTTATAGGTGTATCGCGGAGTTCTTCCTTCAGGCCAAATGGTTGCAATTAAAAGATCTAACAGGGAATCCATGCAGGGAGGGCCTGAGTTTAAAGCTGAGGTTGAGCTTCTATCAAGAGTACATCATAAGAATCTTGTCAGCCTTGTTGGTTTTTGTTTGGAGCAAGGTGAACAAATCTTGGTATATGAGTATGTTCCGAATGGCGATTTATTTGGAATTCTTTCAGGTATTCAATTCATTTCTTCATCTTCAAATCTAAATAGGACCTCGAAGCTCCAACTGTTTTGTTCAATTTTGTCTCGTGTGAGAATGATCGATTAGAGAATTCTGAATGCAGGGAGGTCAGGAATCAGGCTGGACTGGATGAGGAGACTTAAAGTAATTCTTGGTGCGGCAAGAGGTCTGGCCTATCTTCATGAACACGCAAACCCTCCCATTATACACCGCGACATTAAATCAAACAACATATTGCTCGATAAAGATTTAACAGCAAAAGTTGCAGATTTTGGTCTCTCCAAGTCTATGCCTGACAGTGGAACAGATCACATAAGTACTCAAGTTAAAGGGACACTGGTAAGTTAAAAAATTTATCAACTCGAGTACAAGTATTGCATCTTTGTACAAAATATCACGGTATCATCCTAACTGAGGTCGATTATCTCTGCTGGTGTAGGGCTACTTGGATCCCGAGTATTACATGACTCAACAGTTGACTGAGAAAAGTGACGTTTATAGCTTCGGTGTGGTAATGTTGGAGCTGATAACTGCTAGAAGGCCAATAGAGCAAGGGAAGTATATAGTGAGAGTGGTGCAGATGGCAATGGATAACACAAAATCTCTGTACAACCTTCATCAAGTTCTTGACCCGGCTATGGGTTCGGGAACAGATCTGAAAGGTTTGGAAATATTTGTTGATTTGGCGATGCTGTGCGTAGAAGAACAGCAGGATAAACGCCCTAGAATGGGGGAAGTGGTGAGAGAGATCGAGAACATAATGCAGCTTGCTGGTTTGAACACTGGTGATTAATCAGCGTCCAGTTCACCAAGTTATGACTACACAAATATGGATGGTTTGCTGCCGTCCTCAAGGCAGCCAAGTTCTTGATTATAGTCCGGGATTACATATCGGTTTATGTTACCGCCCTCTTGCAGACGTTGGTAAATCATTTCATGTTTCAGCTCTCTTGTAGACGTGCGTTAGGTCAATTAATCAATGTAATGTGCTCGCCCTCTTGCACACGAGTTCAAATCCCCATCCCTGTAAATTACTTTAGTTTAGAGTAGAATAATTACGTTGTCATCTTATTTTCCAAATTTCTCTTCACCCTCGAAGAAAAAGAACCAGGTTTAAACTTCACACTCGATGAAGGGTAACATAGTTACTTCGTGATTACGCAGCTTGACTTATTTGCCGCTGGACCAACTGCCAACGTCGACTCTTACTTGCATCTCGACTCTTACTTGCGAAATCCGCATTCAACTACGACTGAGGAAAATGGAAATCTAAATTCAGGCAGTGAACAATATTTCCGCACGCAAGTGTGATTAAGTTACAACAGATTTTGAGACCATTGCTTGAATGGAAAAGGCATTCTACAGACAACCACTTCAACTGCAAATCTCATTGAGACAATTTTCCGCTTGCACTTTCCAATTCGTTGTCATGCCTTCCTTTCTCGCTAAGAGGTAAGTCGTAAAACTCTGACAAATAAGCCAAAGCCTCTGAGTTACTGTCACAAACCTTCCAAAGTGATGAAAGCTCTCCCTTGGAGAGGGTACCCCAGTCCTCACAATCATCAAGGAAGTTTAGTAGCTTTGAATAGAATGAGTCGTAGTTCATCAACAAGAACGGAACTGGAAGCTTTGACCCAATTCGTTCTAGCTGAATCAGTGCTAATATCTCAAAAACTTCATCGAGAGTACCAATCCCACCAGGGAGAGCAACAACAGCTGTCCGTTCGGAACTACTGCTTCTAACTACAGCATCTACCAAACCATGCTTCCTAGCAGAGAAAAACCTGCAAGTATGAAGCAGTTATACAATTTGGCAGCAGTTCTAAAATGCACTTATGAACTTTCTAACAAATAATTATATCTTTCCTGCATGTGAGATACACTTCTGATGGTAGGTAGGGATGATAATTTGATGCTGTCCATTCGCCAGCTTCTTTACCAATCTTAAATCCACCAACCGATTTTCCTGCACGCAAAGCACCTTTAGTAGCAGCATCCATTAGCCCCGGACCAGCCCCCGTCCATGAAGTACATCCCAGAAGATTTGCAATCTGCTCGGAAGATGTGCGGAAATACAAATTTAATGAAGTAGACTACTGAGCATATTAAATTCCATAATGCATTTGGTGTTTTAAAGCTAAGGTTCCTATCCTGCAATCTCGTTGCCTTTAAATTGATGCTCGTAAAAACTTTTTACATGAAGGGGTGATTTGTAGGGAAATCGAGGTAGGAAAAAGTTACTCACCTCTGTACTTAACTCTAGCGTTTTCGAATAATGTGAATGATCAGGTCCCATCCTTGAAGAACCCAGATACACGACTCCTCTCCCAAGTCTGTGTATCAGTTCATAACATCGTTGTATCTCTTTCCTCACCTTTCAACGATAAACAAATATTAGGAAATAAGCTCTTAAAGGCTTCAATTCATTCTGTCAATTAAAGCTTAAACCAGCAACTATTCAATTTAAACAAGCAATAACAGTAAAGAGCAAGACAACTGGGATAAGATATCGTCTGGTAACAAAAGAACGGCTTCGCACGCTATGCTAAAATTTGTTAAATAAAAGATCAATTTGCAATGAAACATTGCTCTCCCAAGTGTATCAGTAAATTCAAAGCATTGCAATTTATTCCCAGTCAGAAGATAAAGCTAATAACCCAGTAATGATTCGGTTGAAACAAAGTATTCATAATTTCATAGTAAGCAATACTCCTGGAACACAGATAATGCCTCCCTACACACAACTAGTAGTAAAAGCAGGGGAACGTTTTCGGATACGCAGTACTAAAACAAATTACACAAAAGATCAAATTCTCAGCAGACGTAGTTGAGAATTTGAGTGACAAAATAACTTGGTAACAACAGAATCGTTGCCAATGTTTTCGGATACACTCAAAAGCTCAGTTCAAACTGTATCGAATTCCCTGGTGTAATCTATATCTAGAAAAAACATTCGACCAAAAGCATTCCTTACTAATGCGATTCGTGGAAGCTCACTGCAATTTACAATTACACTATTTTACTCCTATCTAACATCAAATTTCCTTTTAAAATGCTTATCAAGATTTGTCCAAAAAAATCTACAAACACACAATTTACTACTGTTGCCAATTCATAATCCGGAAGGAAAAAATCGAACAACAAGTGTATGTATGTGTGTGTGTACATATATATATATATATATTTTTTTTTTTTTTTTGAAGGAAACGATAGTGGATTTCATTCATGAAACAGTGAGACAGAGAAACAAAGGAATTATACAATAGGGGAAGCATCCGCAACTAGTAGATCAGTGATTATACTAGGGGGAGACCCCATCCATTCAACACAATGTTCCACAGAAAGACCGAGACGAGCTAATCTATGACCGAGACGAGCTAATCTATGGCCGCTGAATTGGCTTGACGGCGAACGTGGGTGATGGAAGCTTCAGTGACTGCCGGAGCCAGCGATTTGATGTCCTCAATTAATTCATACTTCATACAAATGATTAGGATCATAACAACGTACCTCATTTGGGCTTGTTCTTTCATCAAAGTCAGGTAATTCATACTTGCTCGACTTGATTCTTCCATGGTAGGACCTCGACCTTGAGAGCTCGAAACCAATGGTGGGTCTCTCTCTTTCCCTGAAAGATTGAATCTTCAAAGTCCTTTCGTAAGAATTTCTTACTAAAATATGAGAGCCCACTGATCCCAGGACCGAAAACCCCATTCTCAAATCTTCCAAATGCTTTGAAGAATGATTTGATGGATGATATTTGGATGGATTCAATGTGGGTTATGTATTGTTGACTCAAATTATCAGTATTTCAATACAGAAAATTGGTAGAAAGAGAATGCAAAAACAAAACAGAAGAACGAAACGCATATGTTTATGCTTTCACAATCTGCATATGTATGTGGAACCTTTCGAGAGGGAAGGGGAATAGGGTTCTACTTCCAACTGTCCAAGTCGCTTCGATATATACAAGCAAGCAAGTTGGGATTTGTTTAAGATAAATGCAGAAGGCTATGAAAAGGAATATGAAAAACCAGAGGAGGGATGATGGGAAAAATGTAAAAGGAATTAAAAAAAAAAAAGAGAAATTAGGTTTACATATTTTCTTTTCTACTTCTTTGATTAAAATCTTATTTATTTTTATTTTTTGATCAAGGTCCTTGATATTAATAGTATCATTAATTATTTCAACAATTAAATATTTTTTATTTCAAAATATATTCATTTAATGTTAAAAATGTTACAATTAGTATATTTATATTTATGGTTAAATTTTTTATCATATATTTTTAGTTTTAGTTTATACCCATTTTTAATTTGCAACCATTTTTTAATTTGTACCAATTTTCTTTTTCAGTTTTAATTTGTACCCATATATTAATTTCTTTTTGTGCCCATATTTTATAAAGTTTTATTTGTATTTGTACCCATATTTTTTTATTTATTTGTACCCATTTTTAATTTTACTAAATGTACCCATGCTAATTATATGTACCATTCATGTAACTTTTTCCAAAATTTTAATCTTAAAATGTACTCATTCTTAAATATACCAATTTGTTATATGTAAAATGTACCCTTATATATATATATATTATCTATTCAATTTTTTTTCGAATCCATTTTTAAACTTATATGGGTACATTCTTTTTTCTTTGATTTGAGAATATATCCATGTTAAGTTTAATCGAAGAAATTTACTAATTTTATTAAGCCTAATATCTTTTTTTTTTTTTTTTTTTTTTTGTGATTTTGAATAATGTACCCATGTTTTCATACAATAATTTTGTTATTAATTTTGATGAATGTACCAATGTTTATATATATATATATAGACACACACACACACAATAGTATATTTATATTTTAATATTTTTAATCCCACAAATTATGGTTTTTTATTTAAAATCTCATTAATATAAACAACTATAAATTTCAATTTTTAATTTAAAAAATATAGTAACGTACATATAAATAAATTATCACATTAATTTCAGGGACTTGGATAAAAAATTGAAAATCAACAAGGTTTCAGTCAAAGAATATTCATAGTTAGGGACCGCATCCAAAGTCTCCTTAAAAATAATAAAAAAATAAAAAAAGCAAAAGAGAAATTTTATTCGGGCTCAAAATTTGTATCGTAAATTCAACTTTGTGGTAAATAGAGGTGTGAATGTCTAGAGTAATAGACAACTAAATATGATTGCAGTTTTATAATGTTAGAGAATGTCTCGGTAAGATTAAGGTTAAAAACACGGACAACCAAATATGACCAAGAAATAATAAATAAAAAAACCTATATATAAAGAGGTATTTGCATCATTGAAGAAAACTATCCTGTAAAACCCCATAAGGTGGTAAAGGGAGGATATTAGGAGAAGCAGAGTGAAGATTCTCATGCAGTCTTCAGGGAGTCGGATGAGGGGAGACCTTCACGATAGAGAAAAAAAATAAGGAGGAAATGAAACAAAGAGGAAAGAAAGAAGAGATATGCACGAGAAAATATCCATGAGCCATGCTAGGCAGAAGAGGGAAAATAATGAAAATTATTTTGTACTCTTATTATTTTATATAATGAAAGAAAATATTATTACTGCCCCATGGATGTAGGCACACTTACCGAACTTCGTAAATATTATGTCTTATTTACTTTATATTTCAGTGCACATATATACTCAATTTCACAATATTATTTTATTTTGAAATCTGTGTTTTATCCCACATACAAAAAGAGTTTAAAAAGACAGGAAAAAAACGAAAAAGAAATCCAGTCAAAGCCACCTTTGACGTTGACCCTACCTCTCCACTTTACATCACTTTTTTGTATAAGCGTTTTTAATAAGCTATTTTTTTTTTTTTTTAAACACCGCAATCTCAAACCAACCTTCCATCAAAGAAGACTAAACTTCATGTAAAAGTGTTGTTTAAAAAAAAAAAAAACTTAATGTAAAGTGGGTTTGAGCTCTTCCGGTCCATGAAAAAGATCTAAACATCACTTCAACCCAAACTTAATCTGGACCAGTTTACAAAACAAAAAAAAGAAAAAAAAAAAAAAAAAAAAAAAAAACAAAAACCCTAGTCTAGACCGGGAGGTACAGATTCTCGGAAAGGGCCAATCCAAAGTCGCCCAAAGTAAAGAGTTAGTTTGGGCCCGGTAATACCACCAGAACACTGAGGACAATATAGTAATTTGATATATTACGTTTGTGCTAAAAACCTAGCTCCCCTTCCACTTCACTTCTCTCACAAAACCCTAGCCGCGTTGCCGCAGACTCCTGGAGCAGAAGAACCCTAGACCTCCAAAATGGGTACCCTCTCTCATCCTCTTACTTTCTACATCTCGTATCCATTTTTTGTTTTTTCTACTTCGTTTCCGTGATGGGTACCCCTGAGCTTGTTCATCTGAAGTTTTGATTTTTTTAATTTTTTGATATCGCATTTGTGAAATGTGATGCTAAATCTTGAGTTTTTGTGTGATTTTTGTAGGTATTTCTCGAGATTCCATGCACAAGAGACGTGCCACTGGAGGCAAGAAGAAGGCTTGGAGGAAGAAGCGAAAGTAATATTTCTTTCTTTTGTTTTGATTTGAGCTGCTCTTTTTTTTTTTTTTTTTTTTTGTTCAAGTTGTTATCTGAGATATCTTCCTTTTGAATAATGTGCTTCTCCTGTTTATTTGATGAATGAATTCAATGATTTGTTTGTTCTTTTGAAGAAATTAATCCCGTTTCCTGTATTTTGAATACCCCTTCGTTTGTTTTTTATTCGATTTTTGTAATCTGGTGATTTAAGGAGATTTATAACTGCATATGTTGAAAGAATTTTGATTGCTTTGCAATTTGTGAACTTCTTGTTTCTGGCAAATAATTCACTGTCATGTGCCTCCACTTGCTCGAAGGGGTTGCCGTAATTTGTATGTACTACGGCACCAACCCTCCATTTCTTAGATTGTGACCAGTGTTGTTTAACTTTATTTATGAACTTCTGTGTGCAAGTATTTCGCAGATTATTGTAAACACAAGTTCTGTACTGCTCGTTGGTTTAGATTTATTTAATTGTTTAGATTAGTATTGACAATGAATTCTCACATTTGGAAATTGATGTTACTTTAAAGCCTTGATGATTTTGGAATTGATTTAGTTTTCACTTCTTGTTTGCAGGTACGAGCTCGGTAGGCAACCTGCTAACACCAAGTTGTCAAGCAACAAGACTGTGAGGAGGATCAGGGTTCGAGGTGGAAATGTTAAGTGGCGTGCTTTGAGGCTTGACACTGGAAATTTCTCTTGGGGTAGCGAGGCTGTGACCCGCAAAACCCGTCTTCTTGATGTTGTGTACAATGCATCTAACAATGAGTTGGTCCGTACTCAAACTCTGGTGAAGAGTGCCATTGTTCAGGTTGATGCAGCACCATTCAAGCAGTGGTACCTCCAGCACTATGGAGTTGAAATTGGCCGCAAGAAGAAAACTGCTGCCGCTGCAAAGAAAGAAGCAGAGGTAGGACTTTTATTTTTTTTTTCTCCAATGATTTAAGTTTTCTATGTGTGTTATCACTGGACTTGTCCTTTGTGTTTTACATATTTGTCGAATTTTTATTGTTTTTGCATCTGGAGGAAATATAATGGTTTATACATTGTTTTGATGTGTTCACATGGTGGAAACAATTATATTTGGTGTACGCTATGCACGCTCATAACAAATTGATTCGAAGATGTATATATGCATGTTTGTACTCTTTGAGATGGAGGAGCGGAATGTTGTCAAGAACAGTAGAATTTACGGTCCCTGATGCCATGTTTTGTGATCGTATAGGATGGTGAGGCACCTGCTGCTGCTGCTGAGGAGGCAAAGAAGAGCAACCATGTAGCCAGAAAGCTGGAGAAGCGTCAACAGACTCGCACCTTGGACCAGCATATTGAAGAACAATTTGGCGGTGGTCGTCTGTTGGCTTGTATTTCATCACGACCTGGTCAGTGTGGCCGTTGCGATGGGTAAGTGACTTTATCTTCCTGTGTTTTTTCAACTTAGTCTATCGTAGGTGCTTTACTAGTTTATTTGCAGTTATGCTAGAGTTGGAAGCATGGATGTAACGGTTGATTTTCGTTTCTTGTTGCAAAGTTTAGTATAATCATATTTGTTCTTATGTAATGCTTTACAGATATATCTTGGAGGGCAGAGAGCTGGAGTTCTACATGAAGAAGCTCCAGAGGAAGAAGGGGAAGGGAGCTGCTGCTTAAATTTTGGTTACCTGAACTCAGTAATTGTAGACTCAGAGTATGTCAGTTGTTTCGTCGTTTCCTACTCTGTAAGGTATTGCACTTTATTTCAGTTTGAAGTTGCAACTGGCTTTACCCCAAACAATGTTTTTATGGTTGAATGCTTAATCAGTAATCCTATTTTTGCAATCGTAAACGCTTACTATTTGGATGTGTCGAGTGATTTGTGGAGCAGTAGTTTGATTAATTTTCTCGTGAATATTTCTTGCATTTTGCCACTAATTATGCTCGTCACCAAAAAATACATTTTTATCTACCCACCCTCAAGCATCAAGGCCAAAGGTTTGTGTGATTTTATATAGTTTTTCTCTGTGGCCTAGCCCGCCTCTCACGAGGCCCTACTGAGTATCAGGTGCTCTAGTGCGTTCTAAAAATGGTCTATCGACCCAATGTCCACCCCTATATTAGGCGTTCATGTCCAGACGTCTGCCTAAGACAATAAGGTCTTGTTTGGCAGCACGTATAAGGGATCGGATAGAATAATTAATATGGTTTTGGGTGTTTGGTGCAATTATGTACTAAATAGTACCCGTGTTACTTATACTGGATCCCCATATTTCTCCGGTGTATGCCCATTTATTTATCCTTCTAAAAACCTTTGTATTATTAGTCGGGTCCATCCGTTTCGCTCCATTGCTCTCGTTCTCTCGCATTGTTCTGCAAGCTCGCTGCCGTTGCCATCGCCAATCCCAGATTTTTCTTTTTTTTTAATTTCTCCTCATTTTCTTTTCCTTCGTCTTCTCTCTCTCTCCTCACACCCACTTTCGAAG